AAAGAAGGAGGGAGGGAAGGAAGGAAGGAAAAGAAGGAAGGAGGGAGCCCTTCTTGATTACTTCTGCAGAGATTTCATCCCTTAAAAAACCAGAAGGGCAAATTTTCTCTCTTTCTTTTTTCACTCCCCCTTTTCTGTCCTTCCTGGAAAAGTCCACGGCTATCCAGACTGGGATATTTCCCACCCACTTACCCACTTGGCAAGGGACCCCCGAGAGAAACATGGGGCGCCCTCCTTCCTTGCCACAAAAGAGGGGGGAAAAGATCGGGGATCCAAGGTGCCCTCGCCCTCCAACCACCCGGGGGGGGCCCCCCCTTCACCTGCTCGCTGGTTCCCGGGGGGTCCCGCCAGGTGGCCCCGCAGAGGCTGATGCCGGCTGTCCTTGATTTCAATGGTCAGCAGGGTCTTCATCTCGTCGTCAGGGTGGGCAGCTGGAGGGCGGACCAGGGAGCCTGCCGGGCCGTGGGCACAGCCGCTTTGCTGGCCACGGACCACCTCTGAGCCTGTGGGGGCGGCCTTGGAGTTTTCATCCCTGGACCGGGTGGGGGCCAGCTTCCTCTCCTGCCATTGGCTGCCCTGGAACCGCCCTTGGGGGCCGCCGGCCTCTTTAGGGACGGACGGAGCCTGAGAAGGGGGCCTGCCCGGCCCAGCCTTGGCGTGAGAAGGGACCGTCCGGGCCGCGTCCTGCGCTTCACCGCTGGGCCGGAGCGTCCGAATGGCAGTGCCGCCACGGTCCCTCAAGGGTGAGTTGGCCGCGTGCCGGGAAGGCGGAAGGTGCTGCGGTAGCCCTCGGCCAGCCTTCTCTCCTTTCTGGGGTGCAGCTGGAGGGTTTGCGGGGTCCGAGCTGAACTGGCGAGCTCGTTCCCGGATGGAGCTGGCTCTTTGGAAGGGCTGCTCCCGGCAAGGCTCTGCAGGCAGGGAGGGAGGGAGGGAGAAGGGAGGGGGGGGGGGTCGGTGGAGGGCCAAGGTGGGGCCAGGGGGGGGGTCGTCTGGGGCGGGTGGGGGCCGTGGGAGGGGGGGGGGGGGGGGGGGGGGGGGGGGGGGGAAGAGTTTCCGCCCCAGGAAAGCAAAGCGCTCAGCAGTGTCCTTTGCGTTCCTTCCAGTGGTATTCAGAAAAAATCTGCCTCCTTTCCAAAAAAAGGGAAAAGAGAGAACCGGCCTCTCTTCCCAACCTCACCAGGGCTTCTCTGCTAAGTTTTCAGACTTTCTGGGCCAGGCAGATCCCAACTGGGGGGGGGGGGGGCAGGGGGGGGCTTGGTGGGGGGGAATCCCCATATGTTAAGGAATGAGACAATGGCCAGTTTTGTAGCGCCCTGGGGGGGGCTTTGGAGAGGAGGCCATTGCTGCCTCACTCCGTAATATATCGGGCACATTTAGAATGGGGACCACTCTGTGACTGCCCCTCCTGCTCCCCCCGATTGGGATCTGTTTAGCCCAGGAAGGCTGGAAACCAGCAGAGAAGCCCTGGTGAGACTGGGAAGAGAGGCGGGTCTATGACCATTCGCCACAGTCAACTTGGCATGGCCAACTCCCCATACTCAACTCCCCATGGCCAACTCCCCATGGTCAACTCATCATGGCCAATTCCCCATGGTCAACTCATCATGGTCAACTCCCCATAATCAACTCCTCATGGTCAACTCACCACGGTCAACTCGCCATGGTCCAATTACGCCATTAGTGTAATTAGAGCTACACTCATATCAAAGAAATGGTGGAATAGAATCGTTAAAGAAAGGATGCAGAAGGAGGGACAGAAAGAAATGTGAATGGCAAAAAACTAAAATATATTTTTAAATTTTAAATAATTAAATAACATGGTTAAATTGTCCCGCGGTGAGTTGGCCATGGTGACTTGTCCCATGCCGCCACAGCACAGCCTCCCCCAACACCATGGCATCCCGGGGGGTCCTGGCCCAGCCCAGAACCAAGCCGGCTGGGCTGGGGTCTCTGGGAGTTTCCCACAAGCCCCCCCCCCCCCCCCCCCAATCTTATGCTTCTCAACCTTGGCCTCTTGGAGATGGATGGACTTCGATTCCCAGAATCCCCCAGCTGGAGCCAAGATTGAGAAAGACCTCCAAAACCTCCAGCGGATTGTGTCCTGAACCAAGGCTGATGCCAGTTGGGACGAAAGAACCAAGAGAAAGGATTACCTGCACTAGGTGGCTTTGCAGGAGCTTCATAGCTGTCCGTCTCTACCGTTTGGGAGGCTCCAGTTGCTAAATACGCATTAAAATGGAAAAACAGAAGCCGTGTTAAGAGAGGAAGGGGTTCAGCCTCCGACAGGCACGGACCCCGAGGTGGCTAAATGGCTACGACCAGATCCCTGGATCTGGATCCCACAGGCCAAACCCTCTCCACCCTCAATCTTGAGACCATTTCGAGATCCCAGAACACTTCACAACTCTATCGTCACAGCCAACTCGCCATGGCCAACTCATCACAGCCAACTTGCCACGGCCAACTCATCACAGCCAACTTGCCATGGCCAACTCATCACAGCCAACTCGCCATGGCCAACTCATCACAGCCAACTTGCCATGGCCAATTGGCCACAGATGGGGGGAGAACCCTCTACTGGCAGATGCCTAAGTAAAGCCCTCCTTGCTGCCTCCCCCAGGCCACCCGGTCAATAAAACTGCCCTTCAAAGGCCCAACTGGAGCTCCTCCGACCCATTTCAAGGGGTCTGCAAGTCTCCTTCCCTCCCCTCAGCCGGCTGTCCGGCAAGTCTCCCTCCCACTTGTCCTCGGCTGAGCTCCCTGGCCCTGGCTGGCCTCCAAGCCCCACTCCCAGCCCTCGCTGCCCCCCTCTGTCGGAAGGCGCCTCTCCCACCCACCCACAAGACAGATTGCGTGTTCAAGTGCAGAGCGCTGCCCTGACGTACCTCCCGCTTCCAAGAAGAGCCAGGCAAAAGTCGCCTCCAAAGAAGAACAGGGGTGAAGGAGAGATGAGCGGTGACACACACACACACACACACACACACACCCGGCGCCTGGGCTGTACACAAGGCAGCTTTGCACCCCAACGCCCCCCCCCCCAAAGAAGCCAATACAAGAAAAACTGGGGGTGGCAGTCGGCTCGAGCCAGAGAGCCAAGGAATGTTTTGGGGCCATGGCGGGAGAGGGAGGGGAAAGAACGAGGCCTTGTGTGGGAGGAGAAGGTTTTGCACCAGGCCTTCAAACTGAGCTGAACTTCTCTGGGGATAAAGGAGGGGCTTGCAGAATGACCTCCCCCTGCAAAGGATCGCGGCCTCCTCCGCAAAGCCTCCCCACGAAACCCATTTTGCAGGATTTCTCCCCTCGATAAACATAAAAACCGCCGGGGTTCAGTCAGGGAAGCTGGCGAGAAAGAAAGACCAATAACGGCTGTTTAGGGTCCAGGAGGAGGAAGGCCAACCCCTCTGCCGAAACCTCCTCTTGGGGACAGCCCGGCGCCCTCCTCTTCCCCGTTGAGGGGCTGCCAGGAAAGCACCCCCCCCCCAATGCCCACCGAAACTCCAGAGGGGGAAAGAGGAGAGGAGAGAGGAAAGGGGAAAGAGAAGGGAGGAAAGAGGAAAGGAAAAGGGAAAACGAAAGGGAAGGAAAAGAAAGGGAAAGGGAAGGAAAGGGAAAGGAGGAGAGGAGAAGAAGGAAAGGAAGGGAAGGAAAAGACAAGGAAAGGAAGGGAAGGAAAGGAAAAGAAAGGAAAAATGAAAGGGAAGGGAAAGGAAGGAAAGGAAAGTAAGGGAAGGAAAAGAAAAGGAAAAGAAAGGGAAGGAAAAGAAAAAAAAGGTAATAAGGGAAGGGAAGGAAAGGGAAAGTAAGGGAAGAAAAAGAAAGGAAAGGGAAAGTAAGGCAAAGGAAGGAATGGAAAGGAAAGGAAAGGGAAAGTAAGGGAAGGAAAGAAAGGAAAGGGAAAGTAAGGGAAGGAAAGGAAAGGAAAGGGAAAGTAAGGGAAGAAAAGAAAGGAAAGGGAAAGTAAGGCAAAGGAAGGAAAGGAAAGGAAAGGAAAGGAAAGGAAAGGAAAGGAAAGGAAAGGAAAGGAAAAGAGAGGAAAGGAAAGGAAAGGAAAAGAGAGGAAAGGAAAGGAAAGGAAAAGAAAAGAAAGGAAAGGAAAGGGAATAGGGAAAGGGAGAAGGAGGAAAGGGGCTTTCACAAATGAAGGAGAGAGAGGGCCCCAACCAAGGAAGGAGGCAGGGAAGAGATGTTCTGACCTTATTGGGTCAAAGAATGTGAAAGGTTCAATTCTGAAAAGTAAATTCCCTTTCTGGGCAGGAGCGGCAGAGAGAGCGGCCTCCCTTGGAGACTAAAGACCGCCACGGCCGGGCAAAGGGGCCGGCAGCCAACCCTCCAGGCAGGAGTGGGTGGGGTGGGGGTGGGGGTCTTTTAGAGCCAGGAGACCCTGCAGAAAGCACTTTCCCTGCCTCCAACCTGCAGGCCAGCCCCTCCCCAGGGAAGAGAAGGCAGCGGCAGGGGAGGCAGCTTTGGGGCGAACCCTGGAATGCGGGGTCCCCACTGTTCTCTGAGCTTGGTGGTCTTGCGGCTGATCATGCCACCGAGCTGGGTCGTGCAACGTCCGCAAGGAAACCAGCGGGTTCAGACAGCACCGAGGAGCCAACAGTCCTCCTCCTCCAGCCTACGAACCGCACTCCCTCTAGCACTGAGGATGTTACCTAGCTGGGTTGTCAAACATTTGCAAGAGAACAAGTCAGCTTAGAGGGCCCCCAGGACACCCCAGTCCCTCTTCCTCTTTCCCTCTCACTCCTCTCCCCTCCCTCCCTTTCCTCCTCCTCCTCCTCTCTACAAAGCCCTCTCCCTTCTAGCGCTGATGAGGTTACCTGGTAGGGTCATGAAACGTCTGCGAGAAAACCAGCCGAGAGCAACGTTTCCGCGACGTTTTCTGCAACGGCCGCCTTTACCCCCTTACCTTCCCCGTCTCCCTCCTGGCCTGCAGCACCTGCTCCTCTCTCTTCTGGGGCCTGAGGCACAACCTGGGGCGGGAAGAAAAGCCATGAGAACAAGATTCTGCCCCCTCCCCCGCCCACCCCACCCCCCGCTCCCACCCCCTGGCCCTCAATATGAGCTGCAGCCAGGGGTGGGCTGCTGGGGGTCCCTGGGGGTTCAGGAGAGCCCCTAGCTAAGATTCTGTGCGGTTGGGAGAAACACCCCTCCCCCCCCAAAAAAAATCCCACTCCTGGATGGCCCCGCCCTTGAAGCGCCCACAACTTCCGAAGGCAACTTCTGTTCCACAGGTTGATGGTTCTCATCGTAAGAAAATTCCTCCTTATTTCCAGGTTGAATCTCTCCTTGATCAGTTCCCATCCATGGTTCCTTCTCTGGCCTTTGGGTGCCTTGGAGAATAGCTTGACCCCTTCCTCCTCCTCTCTGGGGCAGCCCCTTCCTCAAATATTGGAAGGCTGCTCTCCTGCCTCCCCTGGTCCTTCTCTTCCCTAGACTAGCCAGGCCTGTAGCAGTTCTTCATGTTTTAGCCTCCGGTCACTCTCTCGCGCCCTATCTCCCTCTCTTTCTCTCCTTCCTTCTCTCCCACTTTTTTCTTTCTCTCCTTCCTTCCTTCCTTTCTCTTTTGCTTTTTCTTTCCTCTTCTTTCTCTCCCTCTCCCTTCAAATATTGGAAGGACTGCTCTCCTGTCTCCCTTGGTCCTTTCTCTTCCCTAGACTAGCCAGGCCCGGTTCCTGCAACCGTTCATCGTATGTTCTAACCTCCAGTCCCCTCATCCTCCTGGTTGCTCTTCTCTGCCCTCTTTCTAGAGCCTCGACCTCCTTTTTTTATAGGGTGGGGGCCAAAATTGGACACAGATTTACCTCCTTCTTCTGGCTCAGGAGAGACCCTTCTTTGGGGGGAATGTCCCTCCCAGCGCTGCCCATCTCCAGCGGCTCCTCTTCCCTGGTTGGAGAGGCGGCTTCTCCTCCGGAGGAGTTCAGCCCCTCCTGGACTTTGAGGGGTGCCAGGCCTCCAGCTTCCTCCTCCTCCTCCGAAGGCGGCGGCTGTGGTTCGGGGCCTGAATCGTGGTCGCGGGAATGGGGCCCAAGGTCTTCACCGCTCGCCTCCTGGCCTGGGAAAGGAGCAGACTCGGAAGGCCGCTGGCCGGACACGGCTTCCAGGAGCAGGATGGTCCCCGAGGAAGACTCTGCTGAGGGTGGGGGGAGGAAGGAGCTCTCTCAGAAGGAGCAGCCAAGCGTTGTCCCATCACCCCTGCCAACAACCCTATAGAGGTCGAGGCCTATCAGATTGACGGGGTAACAGATCATCGGAGTTGGAAGGGACCTTGTAGGTCATCTAGTCCAACCCCGAGACCCTACACCGTTTCTGACAAATGGCAGCCCGGTCTCTTCTTGATGGTCTCAAGTGATCGGAGGCATCTGCGGTCTCCAGATTTCCTCCTCAATCCAACCCCGCACCAACAGTCTGGTGCCATGCCAGGCCTCCCACCTAGCCCACTCTGGGTGCCTCCTGCAGGGATCCTTGTCCTGGCCTCACCTGGATCATCAGCCGCCTTGGGATCCAGCGGCTCCTGGATCTGGCTTGGAACCAACTCCTCCCCTGCTCGGTTCTGCACCTGGAAGAGGAGGAGAGGAAATTGCAACCCCAGCCCCCCCCCCCCCCCCCCGAAAAGATCCGTTCAGCAAAACCCTAAGCACGTGCAGAGTGCGGTCCCTCTTGGCCTAACGCTGGGAAGCTGTATTGCAGGTGGTCCTCGACTTACAGCCACAATGGAGGCCAAAATGTCTGTTTTTAAGTGGATTTGGTTTACCCATTAATGTCAAAGCCAATAGCCAGGTTAGCAGATTAAACCGCCAACTAGGAGAAGGCTGCCCTCTGGTGGGGAAAATGGGGAAGCTAACGTTCTCCAAGCACAACTCTTCTCGCCCTCCAGGGAACGCACAGGCAGCCTTGCCTTTCCCAGAGGCCAGGCGGACAGCCAAATTCCCAAAGAGACTCCACAGGGAGGTGTACCAGCTGGGCACCAACTAGCCTGGCATGGGATGATGGGGATGCTGCAATCCTAAAGCATGTACAGAGTGCAAGACTGGGGCAGCTACCTGAGAGGGCCAAAAAGGAAGATTGACGGCCAAAATGAAAACGTCTCGCACTCTGGGGGGGGGCAAATCTGATGCCTCCCAATTGAGGGGCAGCCTCCTTCTTGCCTTCTCCTCCTGGAAGGAGCTAAGGTGGCGCAGTGGTTAGAACGCAGGACTGCAGGCTTCTTCTGCTGACGGCCGGCTGCCTGCAATTTGGCAGTTCGAATCTCACCCGGCTCAAGATTGACTCAGCCTTCCGTCCTTTTGAGGATGGTAAAATGTAAACCGCTTAGAGAGGACTGGGAAGCACTGGGAAGCGGTATAGAAGTCTAAGTGCTATTGCTAAGTGAGGAAGGAAGGAAGGAAGGAAGGAAGGAAGGAAGGAAGGAAGGAAGGAAGGAAGGAAGGAAGGAAGGGAGGGAGGGAGGAAGGGTGGGCCATGGTGGTGCAGTGGTCAGAATGTAGTATTGCAGGCTAATTCTGCCGACTGCCAGCAATTCGAATGTCACCAGGTTCAAGGTTGACTCAGCTTTCTGTCCTTCCGAGGACGGGAAAATGAAGACCCAGATTGTTGGGGGTCATGTGCTGAGTCTGTAAACTGCTTATAGGGGGCTATAAAGCACTATGAAGTGGTATATAAGTCTAAGCACTATTGCCCTTCCTTCCTTCCTTCCTTCCTTCCTTCCTGTTAGAAAGCAGTATCGTAGGCTAATTCTGCCGACTGCCAGCGGTTCAATCCTGACTGGCTCAAGGTTGACTCAGCCTTCCGTCCTTCCGAGGTGGGTCAAATGAGGACCCAGATTGTGGGGAGGGCAAGACCCTGGCTCTGCAAACCGCTTAGAGAGGGGCTGTAAAGCACTGGGAAGCGGGATGCAAGAGCTATCGCTTCTTACCTGGGCGTTTCTGTCCCCTGCAGCGTTTTCCTCTTGCTCACTCGACGCCCGAGCCGTGTCGGTGACCCTCCGGTGATTGAAAGCTTTCTCCGCCAACTTTGCAGCTTGAGGGAAGGGAAAAGAGGCTGGCATCAAACAGGCTGGCATCGTTCAGAGCAGCGCTCCTGCCACAACATTTGGGGCACCGAGGACCGGTTCCGTGGAGAGAGCTTTTTCCGTGGAGCGGAAGGGAGGGGATTTCACGCGGTGCCTGCATCCCACGGACAGGGCTTCGCTTGTTTGCATGGACGGGTTGCTGGCAGGCCGTGGCCCGTTGCTGGGGTTGGGGAATCCTGGTTTAGAGAACCTTGTTTGGAAGGCCGGGGTGACCAGGGGACCCAGCGATCCCTCTCCAAACTCCACCCCTTCCTGGAAGATTACAACACAAACACACCCCTTCCCAAGTCCCGGTTGCAACCTTTGCCGGCCCCGATACCTTCAATCTCTTCAGCGCGCAGTTGGCGGATAGCAGCTCGGATGAGTTTCCGTTCCTCGTATTCGCTGGTTCCTCGCAGCTGAGAAGGGAAGCAGAGTCAGCGAAGGTACAAAGGGATCATTTCCTCCCGTTGTGGCCCCGAATGGGAGGCCACCTGGAGAGCCTAGATCCATTGGCTGGAAGCCCAAGCAATTTTCTTGGTGGAAAAACGGCAATAGCCCTTAGATTTATATATTGCTTCACAGGGCTTTCCAGCCCTCTCTAAGCCGTTTACAGAGTCAGCCTCTGGCCCCCAACAATCTGGGTCCTCATTTTAATGACCTTGGAAGGAAGGACAGAAGGCTGGTCAGGATCGAACTGCTGACAGTGATCAGTGAGTTATCCTGCAATTGTTGCCGTCTAATCATTGTGCCACCACGGCCCTTCCTTCCTTCCTTCCTTCCTTCCTTCCTTCCTTCCTTCCTTCCCTCCCTGTCATCTTCCTTCTCTCTATCATCTTCCTTCCACTCTTTCCTTCCTTCCTTCCTTCCTTCCTTCCTTCCTTCCCTGTCGCCTTCCTTCCCTCTATCATCTTCCTTCCTTCTCTTTATCATCTTCCTTCCTTCACTCTATCATCTTTCTTCCTCCATTCTTTCCTTCCTTCCTTCCTTCCTTCCTTCCTTCCTTCCTTCCTTCCTTC